ATCATTGAATTGGTCTCATGTGTGAGCGTGTGTTTGTGTGTTTCGTTATTAGACCCTCAGCCAGGATGTCTGAGAAACAGAGACAAAAGAGACTTCTTTAAAAGTCAAAGGATAAGTTATATTCAAAGAACCCTGTAACACAACTCCTACAACACTGGCTTCATAAAGCAGCATCTACACTTCAAGATCCCCCTCAGAATAATAAAGCTTTCAATAACCTTGTTAAGTGTATTTGATTTTAATTAAAAGTGCTGATAAATAATATGTACTATTGTTATATATTATGATAATCATAAAAGGAAAAAATACAATCTATGAATGTGATTTTATATATCCAAGCACATTATTGTAAAGCTATGTGTTTTTGATGTACATGGATTGTTACACCCCGAATTGTCCAGTTGCTCGCCATGCACCCATATATTTTGTCAGGAAAGGGATAGCAGGGATGCTATCACAGAGGATCTACTAGAAATCGTTCTGAACTGATAAAAATATATTTGAAAATTTTTGCACCCCCCCACCCCCACTTCTGAAATGTTCGTCCATGTTCCAAAATATGATCATATCACTCCTTTCCTGGCCTCACTCCATTTGCTGCCTGTGCATTATAGAGTTGATTTTAAAATTTTTATCTTTGTAAGTGCCTAAATGACCTTGGCCCATCTTACCTCTCAAAGCTTCTTCACCCCTACTTGCCTCCTCAGTCCCTTAGGTCAGCAGAACAGCAGCTACTGCAGGTACTGAGGCTTAAGTAGAAGCTCAGAGGGGCAGATCAAGAAGAGAAAAGATGGAATCACTGAAATAACAGAAAAATAAGAAAACATTGAAGTCATCAGTTTAATTTTTATTTTTTACCTCAAATAAATCCTTGATTGTGATCTCCAGTAAAAATACATTCCTGTCAAGAGATATAGAGAAATAAACTAAACGTTTTTTAATATAAAACTCTAATTCCAAAGCTTAATATAATATATGAATATAAGATTATAATAGCATATAAAATGTATCTCTATGGTAAAAACTGGTTAGTGGATAGAATCTAATCACTAATCACTTTTGCACACTTATTTATCAGACACCACATTTCCTCTCTTAAATGTTCTATTTGATTACATCTGGTCTGTAACAGAACTTTAATATCTACCTCAAAAATATCTCTACAGTTTAAGCTTTTTAGCAGACACACAAAGATTTTTTTCCTTCCAACAGACTCAAACTCATAATTTATCCTCATTTTCATCCACCTGGGCAGTGGCCGGATATGTTTCTACAAAATACTCTCATCAGCCAACTAATCACCAGCTGCATCTGTAAACTGTTCCGTGAATATATTTGGATCTTTGGGGCAGAAAATCAGAGAAATTCAACAAACAAGTTTCTAACATCTGGGAATCCTAACGGATCAGTCTTTGTTAGACCAACTGCAAACAAATATTGTTATGCAAAGCCAAATGGTAGTTAGCATGCACAGCGTGTTTAGACTCTCTTCATGTTGGAACGGACCTTAATGTTTCAGTTCTGCTGATACACCATTCCTGCATACTATAAAATTAATGGCTTTAGTTTTATATGTTGCCTTCTTTAGACTACTTACATGCTGCTCCTGTGACTTATGCAACTTTGTCCATAGCTTTTATAAATGCAGAAGCTTTGACATGCTGTATGTTCATGCAATCCACAGGTTGACATCCACTGGCTCATGCATGGTTTTTTCTGTCTTGTAAGGATCCAGCTTAATGTTTGCTTTTCCCTTCAGGTTAGACTTAACTATAAGGCCCCCGGCTTCACTTTATATCAGAGTCATCTTTAATGAGGAATTTTGGTTCGATTTACCATAGCCCTCATAATAATCAACAGTGCAAAAAACAAGCACATTACAGTAAGTCCAAATCATGCCTGTCTCTATGAGTATAATTTCAAAGCTGTAGCCCAAACTGTCAACATTTACAAATCAAACTAATCCTAATTGTGTAATTGAGGGATTTAATCAAGACTGCATCTGGCATTAAAATTTGACAGATGGGAGAGATGCAGAAAGGATCAGCAGGGCTACAATTTTCTGTCAGACCATTAGACAGGTAAGTGTTGCTGAGAACAGATGTCTTTCAATTCCATGCTTGAGTATTTGTTTTAACTATGTTATCTGTACTTTAATAGAAACTCAATTATATGAAATTTGAATGTTGTAGCATTCTTAAGCCCCTTATGAGCAAAATCCATCTGAACTGGCTATAGAAATATTAGAATATGTGCAACTAGCCGGTGTATCTGTCCCAGCCTTAACTTTACTGTGTTGCAGTTATTTAGTAGTTTTTGACAGCAAAATAAGGTTGCTGTCACATTACCCCATATAGCAATAAGATAGTTATATGTATTAGAAAATAGCCTAAATGGACCACTTTTTGTTTTGGACTGAACAAACAACCGATGGAGGAGTTATAGTGGGGCTTGTTTTTGTGATTGTGTGGTGAAAATGAGAAATGAGGGAAGGTTGAGGAACTTTTAATATGAATGTTAGGATCTCTTTTAAAGAGACAAATATTTCATTATATGCCACATAATATACTAACAATAAGGCAATGTATGTGTGTATTAATACTTTTTAAAATATTTTTATATGTACTTAACCATGATGAATTCAGTTTGACTCAAAAGGTCTAAAACAGGATAGGCAATGTTGATCCTCGAGTGCCACCATCCTACTGCGTTAGCATGCAACCCTTCTTCAACACACCTGTGGAAAGTTTAAGAAGGGTTGCCACTAACCAAATGAATCGTTAATGGCCACGCCCCTGCTAAACTAACCGACATGCCAAGGAGGTAATTTTGCCTTTTGTTTCAGGTGTTGGAGCATGGATGTATGCAAAGGCATCAGGACTGTTGCACAAGAAGAAATTAAGTTTCCCATCCTTGGCCTAACACATACCCCATACACAACTAAGAGACCCCAACAACCTTGGCGGACACTGGGTTGGTCATTGATTTGTATCTAAGTTAGAATGTGCAAAGAAGGACAGACTTCCATGCTGTTTAAAAACATGCTCTGATGCAAGGCGACAACACTGAAAGAGACTCATAGATAGGTACTGAAACGTCTTCAGAAAAAACAGAAAAAAGTCCAGCTGCCTCCAATTTTCCCTACATTCTGGTTGCCATGACCTAAATGAGTGGGAACTTAGACAGGCCTAACCTGCAACATACATGAATCAAACTCGATGCTTGACGCTGTAGGCGCTGTGGGTCTAGATACGGCCGAGATGGTAAGGAAGTCGGGGAAAGTTTGTCCGACAACGGAGGGACATGACGGCAAAAAAGTGCTGGGATCCAGGTGGAAAAAGGGTCCCAGCGTTCTCGCGCACCTTGCTCTTCTAGGTGGTCCAACTTCACGAGTTGTTTTCCACAATGGAGGTAATACAAACAAAACAAGCTGGCCTCCTGTCTGCGGTCACCTACAATTTGGGAAAGGTGCAGCAGAGTGTCTGCTGAGGGGGCAGGGACGTCTTTTTGTTCACTACGACACATACGCAGACGACCTAGTTTCAAAGTATAAATCAGCCTTTAGGAACACTGTCTAATGTACTAAAAAGAAACTTAAAGAGTATTCCGTAATATCCAAAATGGTTTGAAAAGGCAATGTCTTCTTATTTATTGATCTTATTTATTTTTATTAACCTGAGAAGAAGTGAAACTTCAGATTCTTTATATACTGTACCTAGAACTTATTAGAAATTAATGAAAATGATAACTTATTCACATTCCATGAGAAACTGAGATTTTATTGGTCTGGTTAAAGACCACTCATTATATAATGTAGAGTAAAATAGAATTCAACTTTATTGTCATTTCACTGTCACAAGTACAAAGCAACAAAATTTACTCTCTGGATTTAACCCATACCTTTGGGCAGCAGTGGGCTGCCATTGTGCAGTGCCAAGGGAGCACTTCGGTGGTTAAAGGTCTTTGCTCAGGGACCCAGAGCGGCAGTCTGTGGGAGTGGGGCTTGAACTCAGAACCTCTGGGATCTAAGCACAATGTCCTTCCCACTAGGCCACCACTCCCCCCTCAATGAAATGTGTAAACACGTGGCCAGTAATGTGTGATATTCAAAGAGACACTAAACAAAAATCCTGTTTTAGGGTCTAACAAGAACCAGCATCTGGACTTCTTAATATACATAAATAAATTTCCATTAGATGACAAACCTATGACCCCCAGCCCCTCCCATCCCAAACATATCACCATGTTCTAGAGAAAGACATATACACCAAACTCCCTGAAGTCAGCACAATTCTTGATGCTGAACTAGCTTCCAGGTTGATTTGCCATGCTGGTCAGGCTTCAAGCATCGTCAAGTGCCCATAACATTAACCCGTGCACGCACACTCACAGGGATGTAAACATTAGCAATATTTTCCCATTTCCTCTGCAGGGCAGGAGGGAGAGCAGTAGATCTCCAGCCCTTCACTGGTAATAATCTCTTTTACACTTTACGCTGCCAAGAAGATGAATCATGGTGAACCGGGTCAATGTGTGTGTGAGAGGAGAGATCTCGGAAGTGCCCTGCGAAGGCTGGCCTTTATGATCCTCAAGCGTGTGTGTTTATTTGAGGTGAAGACAAAAGGCCAAGGTTCTTTTTTTCTAATATAATCAGAGGTGCTGCAGAGCTTTTTTATGCAGATGAACTTACACAGGTTCAGACATGAGGTAGACAAGAAATTAGTTGTTTTTAAGACTTTGACATGCAAATTAAAAACATTTAGAAGAGTTTATATTAATATTGAGAATATTTATTTGCATCTGGTATTTTATAGTTATTTAAAAAAATTATGATGAATGTATTGGCAGCAGCAGCATAGTTACAAAATTCAAATAAGGTAGAAAAATCTCCACCATGGAGCACATTTACCTAGTTGCAAAAAAAAATCCTCCAAATGTTTTTTTTTTTTTTTTTTTTTTAAAAAACACAAGTCCCAAGCTGAGTGATTCAATTTAACAATTAGGTTGACTTCTGTAAATTGTTCAGATTTTTGAGAAACTTTTTCTTGGGAAAAAAAAAAGTTTTGAACTTTTGTGGTGTGACACAGAAGATAATATATTTGAGAAACTCTTCAAAATGGAAAACTAAACAAAAGAAAACAACATGCCATTTAACAGAGAAAGATTAGTGGGAGTTATCTGTAATCAGTGCAATGCTTGACATTCGGCAAACTGCCAAATCAGGCTGGATGAAGACTAAGGTTCATCTTACCACCATGAAACTCACAGAAGAAAATGCTCAGTTTTACATCAAATATTTTTATATTGAGATTATTTTACACCAAGAAATCCTACTGTAAAGAATGCCACAAAAATACAAAGAGCCCTTCTTTCTCCAGTCATAAATATTTGACAAAAATATACTTTTTTTATTATTTGCATATTACTACTCTTGTCCTCTATTTCTTAAACATCCCAAAAAGTCCTTATTTACAGCTAGCAAGTTTAAAACTGTATCTTCTCTATTACAGTTAACATAGTTTCTACTGACAATGTATGTACAGGAGGCCACCCTGCGATTTAGGGTGTAATTTGGTTAAATGTGTTCAGTGCGGAGACAAAATGTTGAAAACCCTATGATTTGGATGTAAGAAAGGTTAAAAAAAAGAAAAAAAAACAGTCTCCAAGGCTCATTCAGAAAAAGTTGCATTTAAGGGTCACAAGTATGTTGTAGCATGTTGTATCTGTTCACAAAACAGCATATTTAAAGACAAAACAGGGGCTACAGTTGTTATCACCACAGTAAAAATCTAATCAGAATCCATACACGTAACGCAGTTATATAAAACAGCTGAATTTACTTAATAAGCCTGACTAATGTTGAGTTCCAACATTTCTGCTTTTAAAATCTCTGAGGTGATGAAAAAGATTCAGCATTCTTGAGTTGGTTTATGCATGAGATGATGATGATGAGGACATGTCTGATCAGCTCTTTGAAATATCAGATTAAAGCAAAGGGACAGCTAAAGGGTCGTCCTAGATACAAAAAAAAAGAACTTGGAGTGCATGAGAGGTTTCAGTATCGTGTGTGAGGCCAGCTCTCTGTGACGCAGACTGTGTCCTGACTGATGAAGACATGCCACGGTGACGGAGCAAGTTCCTCTGTGCCAAGGCAGCCCTCAGGTGATGCATCCTCTCGAAGCAAACCCTGTGACTTAATTTTGAAGAGAGAGAAAATTATGAGCAACATCTGGTGACAGGCTGCAAGTCAAACTCAGAGGCAGAGCATGTTCAAACTTCATGATTCAAAACGACAGCAACAACAAATTTTATGGAAGTTGACATTTTGGGCAAATATTTATGACAGAAACTTGGAGGAGAAGCATCAGTGGGAATGGAGTATGAGTAGGCTACCCACTGCATTCAATATGAATGAGATGATGGAGACCTTTTACCTCTGGGACCTACATCCTTAACATTCATACATTTGCATTTAGTTGTGACTTTTTTGCACATTATGATCTTCTAAATCCAATTCTAATAATCTGAATTATGACTAAAATTAAAACTAAAATTGGATTAGACTGTGTTGGGCCTAGCAGTAAATGAAATCAATATAATAAACAGGAATTCAGTTTAATCTTGCAGCTAACATTTGCAACATCTCCAAAGGAGACGTATTCTTGTGACGCTATTGGTCCCCTGAGAAAACCCTTCCTCACCACCCAGTCTTTATCTTTGCAGCCATAGTTACCCAGCTGGAAGCTGTTGGCCATATGTGATGGTTGGACACTTGCTGGACAGCTAGATCTTACTACTGCACATTTGGATCCAAGATGAAGGATGGCTTGTTGTTACCAATCACAGACAAATCTTAAATTGTGATCAGCAGATTAGTGCATCTAGCATTCATAATGGGGGAAGTTGAGACATAAAGTTATAGTAGTTATATAGTTTTAGTTACTGTCTTAGTCGTGGTTCTCTTATGTTTTCTTTTGAGTGTTTTTCTTTGCTCCATGTTTTTATAGTCTTGGTGGTTTAATTCCTATTTCGTTGTGTTTTTCAGTCTTCCAGGTTTTTATTTGCTGCCCTCTTGTGTTCTCCTTTTTCCCTGGCTCCCTTTCTGTTCTGCTCTCTCCTCACCTGTTCCCAATCTGCTCATTAGCCCTCTCTTTGTTTCTGTCTTCTATAAATGCTCTCTCTCTTCTTGGCTGGGTCCTCGTCTAACTTCCTCCAACTCGTCTCTCTGAGCCTTCCTCCTTGTTACAGTGATGTCTGTTCCCTGATGTCTCCATGGTTTTTGGTACGGTTTGACTTTGTTTTCATTTTGGATTTTTGGATTCCCGGTTTTGCCATTTATTTGGACTTTGTTTTCATATTTTGGATTACCTGCCTCTGTTTTCTGTTCACTTTCATTAAATCACCAAGAAATCTCACCTCTGCCTTCCTGCATCTGCTTTCCGGTCAACAAACCTTAACCAAACCCTGACAGATTATTCTTATTGATGATGTGTACAGTAAGTTTGCTAAACTCTAACGATACCTGCCTGTTAGGTGTCAGAACTAATGTTTTCCCAAGCAGTTTATATAATTAGGGCAGTTCTTCTGTGTTATCATGTTTATTATGTACATAACAAAGATAAGGGAATGAAGTGAGGACACAGACAGAGTGGATTATTCTTAACAGCGAGTTCTTTGTGTTTTTATCTAACTCACTGTAATAGTTTGATAAGGCTGGAGCCATAGATGTCTCCTCATAAGAACGTATATGAAGTAATGAAGTAATGATGTGGCATACTGGAACTGTATAAAATGCTTCTTTAACTGTAATAAGAGGCCACTTCAATGAGATGTGAGCTTGGTTGGTAAGCGCTGCCTTCTGTAACTCAAAGCAACTTTTCTGGTCTGAGTAAGATTACAATTTCTGTCATAATCTGCTGTCATGTTTCATGGTTATTTAATACATATATATTATGAAGTATTATTTAAAAAATTTCTCCCGAGTGATTTCCTCTCAGGAAAAGAACCGGAGAGGGAAGCTTCAGTGTGTAAACTCAGAGTTTTACTGTAACCCAGTTAAATCTCTCTTTTTCAGCTTTTATAGAACTCTTTTAGAGAACCACCACAAAACGCTGGTCCATCTGCTGCCCTGAGAGAGGCCTGCGTGTCTCCATCCTGTGCAGAAGTTTTCCTAAACATCTGCACTGGGGTTGCCCACAACCAAGTGACTCAACCAGAGCAGCCTTCTTCCTACTGCGAGGCTGGAGAAACTATTCTCTAGGAAATCTCATGCCAAAAGCACGAGGAAAGTTAAATAAATTAAATTTGAGCATGTTTTTTATTTAGGTTATTTAATTTGACTTAAATTTAAAGAATATAAATGCATTTAATCTCTAAAAAACTGCATCAATCTTGATTTGAATGTGACCTTTTAGGGTTAAATTGGTTATGATTATTGTGTGACATATCATACTATCATCGGTTAAAGGCAGTATAAGAAATAAATATTCCCAAAGAGCTAGACCTGGGGAGACTTTGAGGGATTTCCTCCCCATATATCAAACTCAAAGTGAGCAGCAGAGAGCACAGAGTGTTGCTGGCAGTGATAACATCAACATCTTGCCTGCTAAAGCCCACAGGCTCCTTACCCAAGAGGAATTATTTGCAATAAATCTAATACTGCCTCTTATCCAGCTAGAGGAAGTGAAAAGGGAACAGACTAATACTGAGATGGCTGTCAGACTCAGACAATTTGTACAACAGACTTTTATGTAATATTTTAGGGGCTGCATTTGGTTTGTGTTGATTTGCATCCAGAAAAATTATGTCAGTTGTTTTATCCAGTCTCAGATGAATTAAATATTCTAGATATCTAAAAAACATTATTTCTAAATTATATGAGAATGTAACAATGTGTCTGTTTATACCTGTCTGAATTTGTATGAAACATCTGCTCACTAAGAGCTAATGAACAAGTAATTCTTCTCAAATTAAGAAATGTTTGATAGATTGGATCTAAAAAAGCTCTTTTATGGTGTGTTTTATTTCTTGGTGTTTTTTCTTTGTACAGCTGATGAATGCTTTTTCAGCTTTTCTGTAATCTTTTCAGAGCTAGTTTAGTTCTTACTCCAGTTAGTTTAACTCTTTCTCACAAAGTTGTCCTTTATCCAACGCTCACTTTGTCTCTGCAACTTCTCATGTCTTGCTTCAATTTACTTTTTCATGCCATTATTAAAATTTTCTAGAACACTCTTTGAGTGCATTTATGTGCAATATGCTTGTTTTATATTCAACTACCAGTCTACTCTTATTCCTGAATTAACAGAGCTTTCTGTTTTATTCTTAGTTTTACAAACTTAGCTGTTGTCTATGACGGAGTATTAGTGCCAGACTAGAGTTGTTTTTTTCTTCTATTTCGAGAAAAAAGTTGTAATATTACGAGAAAAAAAGTCACAATGAGAATAGACATAAAATTACGAGAATAAAGTTGTTATATTAAGACACAGAGAGATACAAGTAGTATATTATCACAACTCAAGAAGCAAGCTTCTTACAAGAAGCACTTTCTTCCCTAAAATGACGAATGTCGAGCATTATATGAAGTTATACTTTGGCTCTGGTTTGACAAATAAAATCTGTCAGCACACCAGCATCAAATTGGGCAGTATGTCAAAGTGGACTCAGGTTGCTGTTTGGTGGTGCTGGTTGGCCGTCATATGCTGGTCGGCGCTCGAAGCTTTCTCTCTGAAACAAATTGTGATTTGATAACTTCCTTCTCGTAATATTGCAACTTTATTCTTGTAATGTTACGACTTTAATCTCAGAATATTACAACTTTATTCTCATAATGTTACGACTTTATTGTCGTAATATTGCAACTTTATTCTCCTAATGTTATGACTTAATTCTCAAAATAAAATAAAAAAAATCTCTTGCCTGACCCTAATACTCTGTCATAGTTGTCCACTTGTTCCCAATAAGCTAACTATTTCTTTCTCCTATTTTGCTTGACTCTTCAAATTCAATGAAACAAAACATGCAGGCTGATAAGAGATGATGTCCTAACAGGGACCATGACTTTTTTTTTCTAGCAAACTAGCGTGTAAAGCTCTTTCACATCAGTTTGACTCTCAGAGAGGAGATGAAGTATCTCTTTGCAACCGAACATCACGTCCCTGAAGAGAACTTGTGTAGCAACTAGAACAAATTGGTGAACCAAACAATCTGCTTCTATTCATGTCTAAGGTTTAGCACTGTGTGGAGATTATACTATTTGAGAAGCATTATGTTGTTAAAAAAACTTATTTAAAAATACAATAAAAGAAATGTCAACCAGAATTCAGCTAATTTAATTTATCAAATTACACTTTTATAGCCGGGAGGAAAAAAGCATATCGCTCTGATGCATATGAGATGTGATGGCAGAGACATTTACCTGCAGTGTCTTTGGGAAACTTGCAGGGGACATGAGATGCAACGACTTGTGTTGATCTGTTCACAGCACACTAAGGCTTATGGATGACAAAGCATTACAGGTGGGCTTCAGGGAGAAGCTTTAAGGCTGAGGGTCCTTTTAAGTGAGACATATGTGTGCAAGAGGGGTGGGCGTGAGTGTGCATACGAAGTGCTCTTATTCCCTCGATCACAATTAAAAAAAAAGTTATTAAACTGTATTACTTCTTTTTTTATGTAAAGGCAAAATAACAAGCTTCCTGCTGCATAACAGCATGTGCTTATGTGCAGAGTGTGTTTAGTACCCAAAAATGTTACAGTACTCTATAAGGAGTAGTATAGAAAACTTTTTTACTAAAGCATGAGAAGAAAGTTGTCATTCAGTATATTACACATTAAAATTACATAATCAGACAGTTATGAGCTATTTCTGGTAATTCATAGTTTAAAATGAAACAGACCACACTGCCATAGTCAGTCTCAGTGTAGATGGATTTTGGATGTTGCACAAAAAGAAGTGTGTTTGAGGCATTACCTTAAAACAGATATGCATCTATTTTGGATTCTGTAACTGATGTGAATTAAGCTTCATAAGACCCAACTTCATCATCTGTGAAGTCAATCGACAGTGCTCAGAAATCAGCCGATTTTCATGCGATTGGCTCCCACCGACAACCAGCAGGTTATTATGAAGACAACTGATTTCAAGCAGTGGTTATTGTGTTGTAGATACGTTTCTTTCTCTGAGCAGACATGTATCTT